TTTTCAGGCTTTGGAGTCAAAGGCATACAGCCCACTTTGAAGTATTTTGCAACCTCATCATGACTAAAATTAAACCCTAAGGAAGTTGCTCTGAAGAACTCAGATGTAATAAAATGTGAATCCACTTTGAAGTAATCTATCAGGCCATAACAGCCCCATTAAAAGTTAATTCTGTACTGCGAGTCATCAGCCTCGATTCAGATGCAGCACTGCAGACATTTTGCCAAGCGAAATGTTGGAACGGTTTTATTACTGCCATATTATTGTTCTTGCAGTTGTCTTTTTAGTTATGAAGTTCAAAACTGTGCATCCCATTTTGTTCTTGTGTTGACCAATTTAGACTTGTTATAAAAGCAGGCTCAGTGGTGGGATTCAGCCAGTTTGCACCACTTCGGGAGAATCGGTTGTTAACTTTCAGAGCAATTTGGTGAACTGATTGTTGGAAGAAATCTTTAGGGCAGAGAACCGGTTGTTAAATGATTTGAATCCCACCATTGGGCAGGATACACAGTATAGGTCATCCTCAACTTATGACCACAATTGAACCCAAAACATATGTCGTTAAGTGAGATATTTGTTAAGTGAATTTTGCCCTGTTTTACGACCTTTCTGGCCTCGGTTGTTAAGTAAATCATTGCTATTGATAAGTTAGTAACCTGGTTGTTAAGTGAATCTGGCTTCCCCGTTGACTTTGCTTGTCAGAAGGTTGCAAAATGGGATCACGTGAGCCTGGGACACAGCAACCCGTTGTAAGTATGAACCAGTTGCCAAGCGTCTGAATTTTGGTCACACGATCATGGGGACGCTGCAAAGGTCATGACTCTGAAAAACGGTCACAAGTCACATTTTCCAGTGTGGCTGTAACTTTGAACGGTCCCTAAACAAACTGTTGTAAATCGAGGATTACCTGTTAACGTTTAAAATGGGGGGAAAAACTTGCCCTTAATGTTAGTATCCAACGCGGTTTTGAATATTTAATATGGATTTTGACTGGCGTGCCAAGTCAAAAATTAACTATGCCCCACTTGCAGTTTGGGTTTGAGAGCAGGAAAGACAAAACAAGTGAAAAGGTGCTTCTACTTACCTACTTCTTTGGGAGAAATCACAAGGCCAAAAAAGACAATAACTCCCCCAGCAAACTGGACTGATGATGTCACCAGGAAGGCATACTGAAAGGAGATAGGGAAAAACCAATGAGGATATTTCATGGGTGACTGTTGGATTCTCTTATCTTAAGTCAAGCAATTAATCCTTCCGGTATTTTATTTTTGCTTGTATAGGAAGTCCCAACATATTTTTATTGGAAGGCACAGTGAAACGCTGAGAAGTTTAATAAATAAAAACACACAATTCACGCTGAAATACGACTGGCTCCAATCCAGGTAGGACAATGACAGGAAGCCTCACCCACCTCATAGCCATACTGCAGAACCGATGAGGCAAGAAATGCTCCAAGGATATTACCCACTGATGCACAGGCACTCCAGAGTCCAAAAACAAATCCTCTCCTGAATGTGAAATTTAAAATAAAAAAAAATTAAGTTGGGTAATAACTCGGGAGTCAGGCAATAAAAGAAAAGAAAATCTAAAGCAATTATTCCCCTTTAACAATTTGAACAAGGCAGATGCAAGCATTTCGTATCGACTCGTCGAAAAACCATTTTAAAATTCACTTTCCTCAAACAACATTGCATATACAGGAGTTCAGTTTTACAAGTTGATTTTTTTAGGACTATCACAACACTGCTACTATAAAGGAGCTGTGGTGGCACAGTGGTCAGAATGCAATATTGCAGGCTAATTCTGCTGACTGGCAACTGCCCGCAGTTCAAGACTCACCAGAGTCAAGGTGGACTCAGCCTTCCATCCTTCCGAGGTTGTTAAAATGAGGACCCAGATTGTTGGGAGAAATAGGTGACTCTGTAAACCACTTAGAGAGGGCCGTAAAGAACTGTGAAGCGGTATATAAGTCTAAGTGCCATCGCTATTGCTATAAAAAGTTACCCCATAAAAAGGTGAAGAATGTTCTAACGGAAAACTTCTGTTACCAAGCACTTCGAAGTATTCTGGGTAGGACGGTACAGAAAGTGTGTTATCATGCTGTGCATGTCTTGTTTGTTTCAGCATGCACACTTTTCAGACCCAGAAAGGGACAACTGAAAATAATGGATTTAAGAATTAGAGAACGAGAAGCCATCCTTTGGATTAAAAAAAAAACCTTGAATAACTGAAGTGCATTCATTTGATTTTAAAAGTTCATATGTAAAATAATGTATGCTGTATGAAAAAAAAAATCTACCCCAAAATTAAGATAACCTGAGGATGATATGCAGCATGTAGCTATATAGCAATAGCAATAGCACATACCGCTTCACAGTGCTTTACAGCTCTCTCTAAGCTGAGGTGGCGCAGTGGTTAAATGCAGCACTGCAGGCTACTTCAGCTGACTGCAGTTCTGCAGTTCAGCTGTTCAAATCTCACCGGCTCAGGGTTGACTCAGCCTTCCATCCTTCCAAGGTGGGTAAAATGAGGACNTTAATACAGTTCCTCATGTTGTTGTGACCCCCAACCATAAAATTATTTTCATTGCTACTTCATAACTGTAATTTTGCTACTGTTATGAATCGTAATGTAAATATCTGATATGTAGGATGTATTTTCATTATTACAAATTGAACATAATTAAAGCATAGTGATTAATCACAAAAACAATATGTAATTATATTTTTCATCTTGTCCTACTAGTTCTTTATGATTTATCAATTATTGTTTGTAACTAATGATTGTAATTATTATTATGACCTATGACCTATTACTTGCTGTTTCTATGTACAGTGAGTTGGTGCACTGGGGACAAATTCCTTGTTTATCTTATCACACTTCACCAAGAAACATTTCTATTTCATTCTATTCCTATTTCATTCTATTCTATTCTACTCCTGGAATCCTCTCGATCCCAAATTTTCCAACCACTCATTCATTCATAGATATTGCGGGAAGGAAACGAAGGTGGGTCTCTTTGTGAATGGACAGAGGTTTTTACAGAAAAGGGAAAACCCAAATGTCTGGAGCCAGCTGCTGAAGAGTGACCGTGTGAACTTCTGAGTCTCCGAGGAGGAGGAGGCTGCGGACTGAAGGGACATCATCACTATCCTTCCCACCTCGGTTCTCAGCTCCTTCTTCCCAGCGTCCCCTCCTCTCCCTGCTGGGAGATCTCTCAGGGCACTGCCTTGCCAGTGCTCAGGTGCTCCATTCTCTCCCCCTCCTCTCGTCAAGCGCAGCCGTCCGATCCACCCACCAGTGCCCCTCATGTCGCAATTGGCTGGGCACCGGCTGTCCTCACACCACTGCTCTTGTCAGGTAGCCCCTCTCTTTCGCAAGGGAGCACCTACCGCCGCTCCCCTGGCTCCAAACACTGGCATGCAGGTATGTTGGTTCCTAAGACCATCGAAAATATGTGTTTTCCGATGGTCTTAGGCGACCCCTGTGAAAGGGGTCGCCACCAACAGGTTGAGAACTGCTGATTTAGGGGATTAGAGCACCAAGACATTACAAAGGAGATAGCTGTAAGCCTACATCCTTAACGCATAAAATACTGATAACAACAGAAAAACCCTCAAATGTGTGGAGGAAATGGAAATAGATAAACAGGTTTTGTTGCAAAGTTTGAATAATGGTTTTCTTACAGCCACTAGAACAAAATTGTTGATAGTTGGCTCTTTTTAGAAAGTTGGAGAACTTTATTTTTGCATAAAAGGAAAAAAATATAGAATGGTTTACAGAAATTCAATATTTCAAGTTTTACATTTGTAACTTTATGTACTATTTGCAACTATGTGAATCTACAACTACTGTGTTTCCCCAAAAATAAGACAGGGTATTATTTTCTTTTGACCTCTGAAATAAGTGCTTGGCATTATTTTTGGGGATTTCTTATTTTTGAGGTGTAGAAGGTGGCGAGCATGGTCACTTCATGCTGATATTGTGTTGCAATATTTTCAGGGAGGGCTTATTTTCAAGGGAGGACTTATTTTAGCGCACGTGCTCAAAAGCCCGATTGGGCTTATTACCTGGGGAGGGCTTATTTTGGGGGAAACAGGATATGTGAATACAAATACTATGTACTAGTCTTATCTTGCAACCAATATCTATCCACATGTATTGATATCACATATTATGGAATCCTACAGGCAGATCTGATTGTAAGAGTAGAGTCCTGTTACTCTGTGGTAGGAAAAACAAAATAAAACAAACAAAAAAACAAAAATTACAGAGTCTGGTAGCATCTTTTACAACTGATATATTTTATTACAGCCATAAGTTTTCATGAATTGCAGCTCACTTCATCAATTGTTCATGCTTATGCCTTTTAATAAAATGTATTAGCTGGAAAAGATACCATACACCTGCTTAATTTTTTATTATAATTAATACATAAATTTAGAAAAGAGTTGAACTGGATTACTTCTTTAAAGATTCTTCAAGATTTTACTTTTAGGATATTTGCTTCTCCTTTTCCACTTAGAATTTCAGAAATATATTCAAAATTATCACATAGAATGTTAAGCTTTTTAAAAAAAAACAAGGCAGGTATAAAACTACCACAGTTAAATTAATGCAGCAGCTTTTTTGTCTTCTCTAGGCTTATTCTCTTTCGAAAGCGTGTGTTCTATATCATTATGTAATACAGTTCTTTGTATATTTACTTACAAGAAACCCCATGCAATTCAGCAGGATTTACTCTCATGTAAGCACATGCCAGTTTGTAGTATTTTCTACCCTGTGTCACCTGAGGATATACACATAATAAACATGCAATAATGCAACATTTCCTTTGCAGACATAGTATATTTTAAATGAGGAAGTGATTTGTTCCCCTGTTAAACTTCTAATCTGGTAACATATCTTTTATATGTGGTGTTTCTTTAAAAAAAAAAAAAGTTTGACTGGGTCAGGTTCATTTCACCAGCAGGAGACCGAAAGCGCTCAATTTATGAACTACATTTCCCATCAGGCGGTAAGAAAACTAGAAAAGGTGGGGGGAGAATAGAAAGAAAGCTGTACCTGTTCATGCAGGTAAGACAAAAGGGTGAATAAGGGGTGACTTGACGCTTAAAGAAGCAAGGATTCTGGTGCTTTGGGTTATCATATAACTTATGTTGAGTGCTTAAAGTTTTACTTTGTTGGTGGTGTTTGTTGTTTTTTGCGGGGAATTTTTTTTTGTGAAAACAGGTTGCTGAAAACAGGAAAGGTAGAAAAAGGAAACAAGGATAGTTTCGATGGTTAAGGTCTGTTGATAATGGAAAACGGTCTGCTTCTTTTATTTTTGGCTGACTAGAAACTGAAGTCAGTAAGTATATATATATCAACATGTGACAAACTTACAAAGGAAAGACGCCGGAAGGAAAGAAGTGAAAACCTAGTCTCTCTTTCTGCCCTTAATGGTGATTTATGTTTGTGCCCTTCTAACCAGCTGCCTTTTTACACATGCAAAGATTTTACTGAAGTATGGAGTAGCGAGAAAGCAATCTTATTTTCCAAAACTTTGAAGATGACATCTGTTTGGATGGGTATTGTAGCTATGCAGTAAATGTTATTATTCAGAGATCAGCATGGTTTGCTTTTTAGTTGGTTTAATGTTCTATTTATTTCAGTGTGGGAAGAGTATCTTTTTAAAAACTTCTAGAAGCTCAAGAGCAAGCAGTTGCAGCTGAGTGCACAATTGTATCTGATAATTAAATACTTAAATTGCTTGTTGTATCACCATCAAAAGCTTGGGTAAAACACAATCTACTTACATTCAGAGCTCAAATGATTAGAGGAGAGATGGGCATTTTTGGGAAACTTTCTGTCTTATTTCCCCATTTTAACCACTTGTGGTTTCCCAATATTCTTTTAATAAGCTTCTTCTCATATCCAAGCATCTAACCACATTCAACTCAGGCAGAGATAGACAGCTTAGGACTCACAGCCAACTTTGGTGTCTCATCATTGGTTTTCTTCTCAGATGCCTTTCCAAGAATACCCCATATTCATCAAGTAAAAATGATGAGTCACACTGGTTAAACACTTTTAATTCACAGTGTGCTAAAGTAGACCCAAGTGTCGGCTAAGAGGATAGAGAAACTGGAGTGCAGAGAATGTGACAGGAATCAACTTTACACATTAGCTTTCTAGTNTGAGCTATTGTAAGTTTTGCAACTGCTAGCAAACTTTGAATACCGAACTGATTATATGATACTGGACTATGTTATTTGGATTATCCTGTTATCTCTGAGAAAAAGATGCTAAAATCTGAGAGAAAAAAACAGCAAAAATAAAGAAATGCTCAAGGAACAACTTTTCACATTTCATGTGTTCTGAGAACATGATCACCAGCACAAAACAAATGGAAAATATCTCAATACTCTAAAATATTTGGCCCGGGGGTGGGGTGGGGGGATGACACAAGCATTAATATGTGATTTTGCCCACTTGAAAGATGCATTAATATTTTTACACAATAAAATGAGATCATTCAAAAATTACTCTTCCTGTTTAGACTACCATAGATTTTTTCCAAACGGATGCCTGTCAAAAGTAAGGGGTCTATCCCCTTGGCAGCAAATGATGGAATTGTAACCAATTTGGTGTATGGTTTAGTTGTTGGATTGAACAAGTGAGACATATCTTCAAATCCATGATCAGTTGTGAAAACTTGCTGGGACTGTTATTGTGGGAACAATAGGAGGAGAGTGAGCACTGGGTATGCTTCCTTGAGTTCCTGAATAAAAAGTGGGATATAAACTAGCAAATAACTAAGCTCATCTAGAAGAAATGGATCAGGAAAGGCTGCTGCTGTCAGCCTGGAGATTGCTGCTTTCTTTTTCATGTCTGTTTCTTTTTTTTGGCACAGTGTAAGTAATCAATACTGTACCCTTTTTGTTATACTCAAAAACTGTGCAATATTAACTAGATTTTGGCTGGATGCACACATAAAATGGTTTCTTTGGCTCTGGCATATTGTGTGATGGAAATCTAACAACTGCACAAGTCATGTTTTGTAGCTTAATGTGTGACAGAAAGCTAATCCATTGCAGTTTATTGAGCAAACTATGATGAAACAACCTGGTGTTTAACACCACGAGCTAATAAGAGACAATGAATACAGCAGGATCCAATTTGGGTCATTCACCAGGACTAGAAGTTTAGCCCTATCAGCTTTTGGACACTTATATTTGCTATCATTTGTGACAATAACTATAGCTTTCCAATAAAGTTAGCATGGAATCGTTGCTCAGCAGTGAAAGCTTTCAAAAGATCCCATTTTCAATTATTTTTTTGTAAAGCTAAGAAAGACTTAAGAGAGTCCTGTAATTATAGGCAAGCTGTAATCCAACTCCCGTCAGTTCTAGCAATGCAAGATCTTCTGGGCTGAACTCCAGCTGCCATAAATTCTAGTGTCAAATAATGAAGGGTAATGGAGGCAGCGGTGGAAAAACACCTGGAGAGCTTGGTAGATGATACTGAGCTTCATAGATCAATGCTAATCATCCTGTAAAATTATACACTATGTTGAATCTGATGGATTTAATCTCCCGCTTTCTTCAAAATTCAAGAACTGTTCAAAGAAGGAGAATTTGCTCACCACAGCATAAGAAAACAGGAAGATGGTGTCCAATGTTCCAAGGAACAACGTAGCTTCTTCAGCATTAGGAAATAGATGACTGCTGTTCCAAAGCTACAAAGAAAAGTCAGATTACTATAAAATGAGATGGCAATTATGTAGCAATTACGTAGCTAATACAACATAGCCCCATAAATATTAAACAACACCCCCACTTAATCTCTTTAGTCCTTAGATTCCAGCCATGGTTATTTCTGAAGCCATGTAATCCAAATCCTCATACTAAAGGCTAGGAGATAAAGTGTTAAATTTACTATCCCACTCAAGCTATTTAAGGCACACAGAAACACAGCAATCCTGACTCATGATATTCATAGTAATTTCTGGTAAAACTGAATTTTTAAAAAGATCCCTCTCTAGTTTCACTTCTACAAAAAAGAGAAAGATTTCCAGTTTCTGAGACAGAGAAGTTCCTTCGGTAAGAACTACATCTGGCTGGGTTTCTGTAGAAAGTATCTCAGGTGTATCCAGTGGTGGGATTCAGCCAGTTCGCACCACTTCGGGAGACATTTCCTGGAAGGGGGGATATGCTGTTCGAGGTCTGGACTGATCATAAAAACCTCAAAGCTCTCAAATCCCATCAAAGACTATCCCAAAAACAAGTTCGCTGGGCACAATACTTCCAAAGGTTCCAATTCGAACTGAAACACATCCCTGCAGGGAAGAACTTGTTGGTGGATGCTTTGTCGAGAAAACCGCAGTACGACAGTAAGAAGAAAGAAATGGTTCACCCCATCCTTTCTTCCTCCTGCCAAAAGGTGGCCCAAGTCACCATCCGAAACCAGGATAAGCTGATGACAGCAATGAAATCAGCACTCCCGGCAGACCCGTGGTTCAACAATAACAAGAACATCCCATGGTTCCGATCAACATTTGATGGGACCCCAGATAAGCTGGCTTTCTTCCTGAATCGAGTCTGGGCGTACTAATGAAACAGCATAGTACAATAGAATATTAGTGTGGCAGGCCAAAGATCCTAAAAGGAACCAGCTGCAGGCCTGACAAATCGGTTGTAAACTTTCTGAGCAATTTGGTGAACCGGTTGTTGGACTAAATCATTAGGGCAGAAAACCGGTTATTAAATTATTTGAATCCCACCACTGGAGGTATCCAATTAAAGAGCTTCATTAACTAATTTGTTAGACAGAACTTCACCAGAACTTCACCATTTCTCGTGAATGAATCAGGCTTTGTTACAAAGTGAAAAGAAGGAAGCCTCAAAACACTGAAACTGGAATATCTAATTTACAATGCATAGATGCTTCCTTTAATTCTCATAGGACAACCTCTTAATCAGGGAACATAGCAGCTTGCCCTGCTACTTCTTGTTAATGGAAAATGCCAGTGTTTACAGAGTAAAGAACACTCCTAGAAAGCATATCACTAGAAAAAGAAGACATCACACAATTCCCTTTTCCCCTGGTTTGCCGAAGCTTATCTATACTTAACCTATCCAGCATCAATCCTCAGTAAATATTTAATGGAGACAAGGTTACCTCTGAACACCTGTCTATATATATAAAAAACCCGGCATGATACTGCTTTAACTAGTCGAAAGCCAGTTCTTCACTCTTAGAGATGTGAGAATTAATGACTTTCCAGATCCTGCTGCATTACAATTCCTAGAAGCCCCAGATTTTTAAAACAAACCACAGATTCTTTCTCCTGCTTTTGATTTCTGCTCCCTTGAGCCAATCTAGAAATTTGCAGGTAGCATGTGTCTAGAATATAGATCAGACCAAGAAATGAACTACACATTAAGAGAACAGAATCATGCAAGTCTACTTATGCTTTACCTCAATGTTTCTCAACCTTGGCTACATGAAGAAGGGAGGGCGGGGGGCGGGAGGGACTTCAACTCCCAGAATCCTGGCTGGAGAATTTTGGGGGGTTGAAGTCCACCTATATTCAACTGGCCAAGATTGAAAAACACAGGTTTACTTCTTCCTAATATAAATTAAAGAGGGATCTGCCTGGTTGTTTTTTTTCATTCCTCCTTCACCATTTGTGTTTAAGCAACATTTCCCTCCTTGTTATTATATTAATACATCTTCCTCTCTCTCCATCAAGGCCATCCTCCTTTCTTTCTACATCATGGATCTGGAAGGGGATGTCTTTTCTTTCCAGCAGACCCTTCTTCTAAACCCCACAACTATACATCAGTGAAGAAATACAGTGGACTACCATAATTCTGACTGAATGTTGTGGCACTTCTAGCCTGTCCAATTGCAGAATTTATCACAGTGTCTTGCCTTCACTAAATTTTAGAAAATTATAGGGGATAATTTGAATTATCCAAAGCTCAAGATGACTAAATTCATTGAAACCCTCTAAAATCCTGCAAGCACAAGGATAGGTAGGCAATTATATGGTCTTATGTGCAAGAAGTTTTTAACAAAAAAACCTCCCCTTTTAAAATAGTACAAAATACTAGACATAAAGTGGAATGTATTGTGAAAACCAGGAAAAATATCAGAATAATCTCCTAATCTTTGAATTTTATTTTTATTCATTTTTATTTATAAGTTTTAACTTGTTTTAACTGTTTTATGCTTTTCTTCGTGTATTTATGTTTTTTAATGTTGTAAACCACTCAGTCGCTTAGGGGGAATGGGCAGTGTAGAAATTTAATAAATACACAAACAACAATGGTGACTGTAAATAAGCTACATACTAGGCTTTATTTAAATTACGTCGTACAGGTAGTCCTCAAGTTACGACCACAATTGAGCCCAAAACTTCTGTTGTCAAATGAGACATTTGTTGAGTCCTCAGTGAACAATCACTAATTACCATAACTCCTCACTGTATTTCCTCAATGCAGAGGCAGGCAAATCCTTCCCTTTGCAAAACCGACAGAATCCTCCTCAGTCCTTGAGACTTGTGGTAGCTGCTCTTTAGCGATCTACAAACATCTCAATAGCAAAAGTATGGAATCTATTCTGAAGCTCCAGAGTATAACAGTATAAGACTTCTTTGTCATAACATTAGGGTTTCATATCATGTTACATGTCTCTATCATGTCACTTCTTGATGCCTAATTTAAGATTCTTCTTCTTTCCTAAATAGAGGTTTAGCTTCTGCCTCTTCATGTCCAAGATAGTCTGGGCATATAAGCAAAGATAATTCTTGCCATCTCCAAATAACCTTGCAGGTCCTAATTCCTTTGACCTCAATGTTACTCTGATGAAAGAGAAACATTTTTAAAAGAGTCTTGCTTCCTTGATATCCCTCACTAAACTCTTGTTGGCTTGCTTGTTCTGTAGGCCAACCCTCTGGGGAGATGCTAACTTGTGCAAGGCTTTGAAAAATCAGTAAAAGTCAACCCGCTTACCTCGTATGGTTGAAGAATGAAGGCAGAGTCATTAAAGCTAGATGGGGTCCATTGGCTGGAGATGCTGACCTTAACGTTGCTAAAGGTCTTTCGGGAGGCATGGAGAAGAGAGTAGCTAGGAATTGTAAAAAGAAGAATTACAAAAAAAGAAAGAAAAATTAAACATATATTATTATTACCTCAAGTATACAAGGAGTCAGACTTATTGTAGATTTGAGGTAATATATGTTTAATTTTAATTCTTGCATCTAGCAAGGAGAACGTTGGTTATGAGTAAGGATGTCAGTGAATCAAATAGACCCGGCAGGGGGCAAATGACGTTACAATTGTGTTCTAAATTGCATTTTAGTTTATGCTATCATTGCGCATTGTGAATTACCGAATTACCACAGCACTGTCTTATCTCTAAACATATTTACCCATGCAGTAGGGCTATATCATTATTATCCTTTTCATCTTTTCTACTATCTTCTCCTACTGGTAACTTACTATTATATTACTTTGTTGTTTGCATGTACACTGAGATCTTACGCACTGGTGATAAATTCCTTGTGTCTAATTACGCTTGGTCAATAAAATATTCTAATGTAACAAAGTATTCTAATCATAGTGCATTGTGAATTTTCTTCTTTATCGTCTCTGCTGAATGGCATTGCCTATCTTATTAATATAGTCCATGCCAGAAATACTTTAATAAGAAACTATCATTGACATTAGCTATGCTGTTGGGACTAATAGATATTACGGTATGATGGACATTCAAAAAAGGGCCTGAGGGATCAGACCAAATGCCTATCTAAATCCAGCATCCTGTTTTCCTCAGCAACCATATAGCTATGGATAGTTATAATTGGTAGACTTATCTTTCATGGATTAAAAAATGGGTGAGATACAACTATAGTTGATGAGAAGTTTGTAGGCAACATTTGTTCTGCATCAACATATTGATTCTACCGTATAAAAGGAACCTTTCAGTGCTCTACTTTCATCCAGGTTGCTCAAGAATAGCAATAGCAATAGCAGTAGACTTATATACCGCTTCATAGGCCTTTCAGGCCTCTCTAAGCGGTTTACAGAGAGTCAGCATATTGCCNCGCTTTAATCGGGCGCGCTTTAGTGGACCACGGTTTTGTCATGCCACGGTTTTTCTTGACCAGACCATTTTGCTACTGTGACTGTATAAGCCTCATTTGGCTACCATTTTTGAGCATTTTTTGATGCCCTCAATCTGCTCTCTAAGGCCACCAATTGAAACAGAGTCGGAAGGGACCTTGGAGATCTTCTAGTCTAACCCCTTGCCCATGTAGGAGGCTATCATTTCAGACAAATGGTTGTCTAATCTCCAGTGATGGAACACCCACAGGTTCTGGAGACAAGTGGTTCCACCGATGAATTGTTCTGCCAGGAAATTTCTCCTTAGTTCTTGGTTGGTTCTGTCCTTGATTAATTTCCCTCCGTTGCTTCTTGTCCTGCCTTCAGGTGCTTTAGAGCAGGGGTCTCCAACCTTGGCCACTTGAAGACTAGTGGACTTCAACTCCTAGAAATCCTCAGCCAGCTTTGCTGGCTGAGGAATTCTAGGAATTGAAGTCCACTAGTCTTCAAGTGGCCAAGGTTGGAGATCCCGGTTTTAGAGGATAGGTTGACCCCTAACTCTGCAGTACTGGTGCAACATCTGACTGAAAGTGGATTACCATTCTTCTATTACATGTTGAAATGGAAGTATTGAGAGCAGCTGCCTGTACTCCTCACAGTAGCATCCCATAGATCACAGACAGGATTCTTGTAATACGTTTTAAGTAGGACCACAATATAAGTCCGTCCCAAATAGCATTGCTGGATGGTTACTAGGGGTTGGCTGTATATAAGTGTTTTTAAATAGAGTGTCCACAGTGCTACAGGAAACCTTTAGGAACAGCATCTCTTCTGTTGATTCTGATGTGTAGTCAGGGAAAGAGAAAGGGAAACAGTGGCACAAAATCAGAGGTTGTTTACAGAGTTAAAAAGCGAATAATATCTCAGCTTCCTAAATATCTGAGGCGGTAGAATGATTGCACAATATCTCTTTGGATGCAATCTGTCACTTTGATCTTGTTCAGTCCCCCAGGGTCGGTCAAGAGTTACTTTTCACCTTCCTGTTTTTATGATTCTCTGTAACGCAGACCAGAGTCAGTTTCCTTTAAAAAGAAAAAAAACCCACAGGCGAGCAACTGTAGTTCTACTGCTATGCCACTTTTCTCTTCTCCAGAAGAGAAAGCCAAATAGACAATAAAAGACGCTCTGGGACAACTTTTCTGACTGGTTAATTATATTGACCAGTAATAACAACAAACAGTAACAATAACAGCAGCACTAGGCCCTTTTAAACTCACCCTCCAAGTAAAGTGTTTTTGAGTTATCTTTCTCAAAGAACTTTCTCCATTGCTGAGGTAAAATAGTGTTCACCTACCTACGGTATTCACCTACCGTATTTTTCGGAGTATAAAATGCACCCTTTCCCTCCCCAAAAGAGGGTGAAAATCTGGGTGCGTCTTATACACTGAATACAGCATTTTTGACCCCCTGAAATTCTGCCCCACAAACCCCGTTTTTCATAAAAATGGACATGCAGAGGGTTTGGGGGGCCTGCAGAATGTTCCTGGGGCTGGGGAGGACAAAAATGAGCAAAAATGGGTGCTTAACGTGTTTATGTCCTCCCAAGCCCCCAGGAGCACTCTGTAGGCCTTCCAAATACTCTACACACCCCGTTTGTTATGAAAAATGGGCTCATTTTTTGCTCGTTTTTGCCCTCCCAGCCCCCTAGGAGCACTCTACAAGCCTCCCAAACTCTCTTGTGAAAAACGGGGCATGCAGAGGGTTTGGGAGGCCTGCAGAGTGCTCCTGGGGGGCCGGGGAGGGCAAGAACGTTTGTTTTAAATTTACCTCTTCAAAATCTTGGTGCGTCTTATAGTCCAAAAAATACGGTAGTTTGTGAGACTTCTCTGGAGGATTTCTTCTTGAACACCTTTAAAATGGGTCCTGCTTCAGTTTCCACTATAAAAGAGAATAAGGAGCAGGACCTTTTAAGTGGTGACACCAGTATAATACAATATTCTCATCTAATAATTTTATTTTTCTGTTAAAATGTCTTCTAAAAATGTTCCCAAAGCAAAGCTGAGAGTGTTTTTTTCAAATATATGTTAAGGAAAGATTTCTTCTCCTTTTCTAGCTGTATTTGTGGTGATGAATTTGAAAGATACTGAAGTTTTTTTTTNAACCGGTTCTACTGAATAGGTGCAAACTGGTAGGGAACCCACCTCTGTCCCAAACCGAAAAGAGTCCCATATTCTCAGCTCTGCTGTCTCTAGGACAGGGGTGTCAAATCTATGGCCCGCTATCAGGATACCTCACACGCGGGCCATGACCTGTTTAGCGAAGCGGGAAAAAGTTGCAATACATCACATGATGATAATGTGTCAACATGAGTTTGACACCCCTGTGAACACATATAAAAGTAAAGGCTCCCCTCACACATATGTGCTAGTCGTTCCTGACTCTAGGGTTCTGTACTCATCTCCATTTCGAAGCCGAAGAGCCAGCGCTATCCAAAGATGTCTACATGGTCATGTGGTCAGCATGACTAAACACCAAAGGCACACAGAACACTGTTACCTTCTCACCAAAGGTGGTTCCTATTCTTCTACTTGCATTTTTATGTGCTTTCAAACTGCTAGGTTGGCAGAAGCTGGGACAAGGGAACTGCTAGGGATTCGAACCGCCGAACTGCCGACCTTTCTGATTGACAAGCTCGACCACTGAGCCACCACGTCCCTCTAGATCACATACACCCTGCTTATGGATTATAAGTTGCTCAGATCTTCTTGCTTATTCGTATTCCGACTGCCACACCTCCAAAAACCTTTCCTGAACATGTAGTGATTGCACTTGGAACCTTATACATGTGAAGTCTGTGTTCTAGAAGGAAGCTATGACCTCTCCCCTTATATGCTAGTTTTAATGCTAGTTTTGCATCATAACTACGATTATGGTCCATGAAATAAAGGGCTGAGCCTCCCTCTCAACTTTACAGCATTCACTCAGTTGATCATCTACAGAGAATAAAAGAAGCACTTAGCTGCTAGATGTTATTCACTTCGTCAAGCATAGCACATTAATTAGAACATACTGCTATGTTTTCCAGGTTACAGTATATGTGTCTCTTGTTACAGGTGTAATGGCTCCTCTCCTAACTTGAGAAAGTAAAGACTCTTGAAACGGATTATTTCAAANTTATGGTGCCTTGCTTCCAGTTAATTTTGGGATTCCATTTTTTCAGCCATGCAAGACCCAGCATTAGTGGCCATTCCATGCATTGAACCACTATAAATGTAAGCATTTCCTTGTGGCTTCCGATGCCTATCGGTAGAAGCTCAGTGGCAAGTGAAGCTGGCTCCCCCACTGCTATTGACCCATCTAGTTGGCAAAAAGCTATGGGGCTTTTCAGTTTCCTTACATTAATCCTCAACTTCCTTACCAGGGTTGGGCTGATCAAACAGCAGGTGCAACTCGAGTCCACTAAAGCTGAGATTTTCATCCCCCTCTCCCAGTTGGAGATAAATAGTCTCAGGGCAAGGTAAATGGTTTAATTGATTTGCTTACCAGTGGTTCAACCTCTGGGTTGCTTCCAGATGAGTATGGTTCCTCCTGCTGGGGTGGAAATTCTATGGTCTCCCTGCTCCTCAAGGCCATCTCCTTTCAGTGCTGGCCAGGTTTCATAGGTTTTCCCCCCAATGGGAGATCTGGTTTCTTAGCTAGTGTCTGAGAACAGCATTCTGCAGCTTGGTGCCCCCCTTTTCCACACTTGAAACAGACTAAGGATTTTGGAGAAGGTGTCGTTTGTGGTTTTCATTGGGGTGGGGATTTCTTCCACATTCATCCTGCCCGATACTGATTTCTGGCCATGTCGATCTCTGCCTCTTTAGCAATAAGATACCACTCATGTAGATGGGTTGGGGAACCTCGGGCCACACAAGCATTGTAGAGTTCATCACTCAGCCCATCCCTGAACCAGTTTACCAGGATATCATCTAGCCAGTTCACATGGTATGCCAGATCTCGGAATTCTTCGATATACTCTTCCACTGGCTGGCGTCCCTGCTTCACAACTTTAATGCGGTCGCATGGTTTGCAGTCTGCGAGGGGGTCCTCGAACCGCCGTCGCAGGGCCATCATGAACCGATCAAAGTCCCACAGTTCTGGTGCATTGGAATCATGTAAAGTCACCATCCATCTGGCAGTGGCTCCTTCTGGCAGTGACTAGGGTGACCACTCGCACTTGAGCTCCTTGGGTTCGAAAATCACACCCATATTCTTGCACGTAGGTGACCACGTGTGCCACAAAGAATCCCATTTTTTTTGGGTTCCCATCAAATTTTACCCGCAGGGAAGGAGTTTTCCTTTCTAACTGCAGGTTTGGGGGTTGGTTCAGAGTAGCCTTCAACCCATGCACCAACTGGGGAGAGGCTTTTCTGGGTTCCTAGCTGTTGCTGCTGTGTCATCAGCTTGATCAGCAGGGACCAGAGGGGGATTAGTTTCCCTGGCGTCACCCCCATTTGCCGCCCTTCCAATGCTTCTCGGTTGCCGGTCTGGCTCCCCCCGGATCTTGAGATTTTCCAAAATTTCCATCACCAATTGGGTTACATGCCTCTTCAGAGGATCCTCTCTCAGCGCGGCTTCATTTTGCTCCTCCTGGTCAGAGGGGGCTTCTAACTCCAATTTCCACCCTGGTTTTCGGCTACCTTGGGTAAGAGTGACTCCCCTGGTCTTCCCTTCCCAGCCGTCTTTCATCCCAATTCTGATTGACCAACAGGGCAGACATGGTTTGTTGGGTCCCCTCAGTAGAGTAAAAATGTTTCTGTCCTGGTTGACCACTTTGCAGAGAGATGCTGCTTTATGTAATGGCTTCTCTCCTAACTTGAGAAAGTAAATACTCTTGAAATGGATTATTTCAAAAGGAACCTTTAATCAAGCAGGATGGAAACCATTAGAAGCAAAGCAGCATCTGAAAACCTTTAGGCCATGCAAATGGGATTAAGCTGTTAATGACCCCTCCCCTTTGTCTGAATGCAGATTCTGACCAATACACAAGTGTGAAGATGCTTTCTGAACTCTTCTGCCCTGGGAGTCAATAAAGCACACGTTCCCATGGCTATCTCTAGTTAGACATCAAAGTTATATATCTCACATGGCTACCATAAACATCCCCCCAGAGATGTTGGGACCTTCAGTCTCCCGGTGACAGGAAACCAATTGTAAAGTTGTAAAATTCAGTTGTTTCAGATGTAGATAATGATTTAACTCTGAGACTCCCCTCCTCCCAATTGAATGGCAGTATCACTTTTAGGGATCTGACACAACCAATTAGAATACATTTTCTTACACAGGAACAGGAAATAGAGAGGTGGGGCCAAACAGAGGGTGTAAAGCCAGGACCTTTTAGTTCTTCTCCTTCACCCAACATTGAAGCATGTGATCACCTTTTCTGTTCAGGACTCAAGCAATGTGATCCTGTCCACCATTAAACCATCTTTCCAAGCAGCCACCCTGACTCCAGTATCTTTCCCCCCACTTGGAGCTGAACCCAGAAGGACGTTTCTTCCAATAGTTTGATCATTTGTTTTCTGACATGTTGTAGCCTCGTAAGTCCTTGGACTTACGAATGACAGTTCGGCAGCAGCCAGGCGCGTCTTAGCCAATCGGACGCGCCTGCCGGTTGCCGGGCTGTCATACGCAAGGCTATTGGCTCGTCCGTCTGACAGCTCAGTATAAAAGGCTGTCAGACGGAGGAGAGGTGCTGGTCTACTCACAGTTTCTGTTCTCTCTGTTCTTGCCTGTAATAAACTGTTGAAGGTTACCTCAGATGCCTCTTCATCTTTCCTGCCGCCGATCTAACACTGGCGACGAGCAGTGAAATCTCTGGCTCTGAGCATGACCTAGAGGGCAAGCAACGATCGTGTTAGGCGCGTAGACCGGACAAATAAACCGCGCCTCAAAAATCGCCTCAGCCGCCTTGCCAATCACCTCAGCCGCGAACCGTTATGGCGGGCATGCCAGCCTTCGCTCCGTTCGGAGCTGGTGGAGAGTCCTGGGCAGCATTCTTAGAAAGATTTGAATGCTTTCTCATTGCCAACAACCGGCAAGGCTATTCTCAGGCCAGAAAATGCGGATTTTTCTTAACTGCCTGCGGTCCTGAGATGTTCACAACGGCCCGATCATTCGCTGCCCCTAGGACCGTATATGATTTAACTTGGGAAGAGTTAACTGAGGGGCTTCAAGCCTACTATGCCCCTACCCCATCTCAGATCGCCCGCCGATTCGCCTACCGTAGGCGAGTGCAGAAGCCATCCGAATCGGTCAATCAATTCTTGCAGGCTCTGCGAGTCGCCGCGGCGCAATGTGACTTCCCTGATTTGGAAGACAACTTATCAGAACAATTTGTGTGTGGCCTCAAGGATATCTTCCTGAGGCGCCGACTCCTAGGGAAGCCTAAAGTAACCCTAGTATACGCTATAGACGAAGCCAGGGCCGCACTTGTTTTCTGACATATTTTGTATACAAATGTATATATCATTTGTTTGTTTCTGATAAAAAGATTTGGGTGTTCCCATAATAAATGCTTTTTGCTTTGCCTGAATTATTTGGTAGTTTCTATTTTCCAGTGAACAGAGATGCCTCTTTGCAAAACAAAAGTGTCTCTTTCTCTCAAATTTGGGGATCAAATTTTTGGCAGCTCGAACCAAACATCAAGTTCAGGATGCCTGAGTCTGTAGGCAACACTTGAGAAAAGGTTGGAATGGATAAATACCGAAATTAAAAATCATTAACATTACCCCCACAAAACTCCAGGGAAATTCCCAAACTTTGGTGGACCAATGAATTTATTAACCCAATTCTCAATCATAGAAAGATATATTAGTATATTAGTGTACAAGAACTTTGGTTTTTGCGCGCACCCACACACACAATCTACTAGATTTTCAGTAAAGTGCTTATGGTTTGCAGTTAAAGGGTTAACAAAAAAAGTTGCCGGAAGAGTCACGGGAGTTATTTTGCCTCTGTGAATCATGGGAATCGTAGGAAAATATGGAGATGCTGGCTATATCATGGCTGCCTTGAATTTGAGGTAATGTGCGTTTGTCTTTCGTTGGAATAATTCCACCCCCTTTCCTCCATCCACCACCTCGCGCAAGCGCCCCGATAAAGGTGATTTCTTCTCCAGAAAGTGCTGGTGGAAGCTGATCTATTTACTTTGTTTTTAGGTGTCAATTCCTTGTTGTGGCAACTTTAATATTTCCACTTGTTGCTTTTTCCCCCCTGGATGCGCTACGGTGTCCTGGCTGTGATGATTGTTGAAAGTGGCGAAACTTAGCAGGACTAAAATGGCAGGAAAAGAGTCCCATTTTACTTTTTAGCAAAACTTAGTTCACACAGACCTTCGTTTCTTTTTCGCCTTGTTCCAAGCAAGACGTCCTGGTCATTTTAGTCCGTCGCTTTGCAGTTATCGTTCTGTCTGAAGTGTTTCTGATTTCGGAAAGAAGCATCGGAGGTTAGGCTCTGGATAACAAGGCCGACCACCCACCACAAACATCAAATAAATACTTTGAGTTTGAGCGCAACATCAACTTTGCAGAAAACAAAGATCCAAGAGGAATGAAGGAGCAGGCAGGGCCTTTGCATTTCTAGGAAAGCAACTAATTAATGCGAGCAAGATTCTTCTCTCATTTCCCTCCGGTTAAGTCAAATGATTGGTTGCAGCTCTTTTGGTTGAGACAATATTTGCTGGAATGTATCTGGTGTTTAGCTGTGTGATAAAACACATTGGGGCACATCTGGGCTGTTGAATAAATACTGGGCTGGGTTAATTGTGAGTAAAATGTGATCAAATGGCCCTAAGACAGCAGAAATGTATGTGGAAAGAAAATTTGCTGCTTAAAGAAAAGTCAGGATTCCCTTGGCTGCTTTGTTTTCTCACCTAAATATCTTGTGCTGACAAGAGCACAACAACAAATGTGCATATCTCCCTTACATGGTGTGGGTGAAGTTGGGCAAAGAGAGACAGGTATATTTAGCCACCTGTGAAGTTGCTTAACAGGTTGCTGACCTGGACATGTTCCATTCCTGTGACTTGCCAGTTGGGCTATTTCTGAACACAGATCTAGTGCCCCTTTAAAAGAATGAAAAACCTGCAGGCTTCCCACACAATGAATTTGCCCTAGTCTTTTCACAAATTTGTGTATTTTTTTTCAAATTTTATTCAACTCTACAATATATTTTTGAAAGTGAGCCAACAAATTTGAATACAACCAGTTATGCTTAATTTATTTTTTATTCTTTCTGTAATGATCCTCATCACAGGATTGGCTTTTGTCACTGAAGCAAAACTGACCACAACTGAAGGTCCACAACACTTCTTAGCTCAGATGTCATCTTTTACAACAGTTTGAGTTACTTAAGAATTGACTTTGTTGGGCTGCATTTGTTATTTCAGTATACATCTCCATAGTGTGCAGACAACTTTATTATTCCTTTCTATTTTGAATATAGAACATATTATAAACCATTTATTTGCCAGGTCCAAGTCACCTAAATCTGCCAGTTTCAAGTCACCGAAATCTGAACAACAAACCCAGTTCATTCCACAATTAGAATTAACAATGACAATGAATTAGAATTGACAACGAAGATACTCAAACACTGAGTATTTTCTGCCTTTATGATCCACTGTCAACCCTAAAGAAGCTAGCAGTCAAGAAATATGCCATATACTGACATTTCAAGGGTGGCAATGAAAGCATTGAAAGTGATACTTAGATGCCTTATTTATGGTGTGTCTTTATGCCTAACATGCCCCCCAAAAGCAATGTATGACATTAATTTTAGTGATGTTTTTTTTTTGCTTCTTCCCCCCAAAAGATGCTAAATGGATACATGTCTACTTGTAGTTTTAGACCCATTTCAAACTTTAAAAGAAAATTAAAAAGACCTCTTATGTCACCATATTTTGAAATACGTTTTTATAACTCTTCAGAAGCCTAAAGAGTTAAACATTTTAAAAATGCAGACTCCTAAGATGAAAACCTTGATGATTTTTGTTAATCTTGAGAAATTTATAATTTGAGGGAGGAAAAAAACATTAAATATGACTTAAAAAAATTAAAATGTTAGCAATT